TGGTATATATATATATACTGGAATGGCAAAAAAGGAGAAAACCAGGAAACGAGTAGGAAAGCTCTCCGGCCTAAGCATCCGTCCCCCAAAGGAATGATACTGAAAGCCTATGTGTAATCAGTCAACAAGTACTGACGATCACTTGATAGACGGCCATGAATTATTTCACCACCATGCACATGAAATAAACCGCTAGATAGTGATCACTCTGTAAGAAGTCTCAAGTATACTTTGGGGTTCCCACTTTCATCGGCACTGATCTCTAATGTGAAACCACCAGTCTTCTAAGGAAGAATCTAGGAGACCTACCAGGATATCTCGACATTTGGTTTAAACAAGACTACATTATTCCCCGGTTATCCTTAAGATTCACTTTTACAAGTTAACATATTTCGGTGTTGCAATGTCCGTCATCGTCCGAGTTTCACACGTCTTGCCAAAACAATTTCTTGTCGCCAACTTGTGTGACCTTCACAACGCGTATCGCTATCCACATCCCTGCCTATCATACACATGAGCTTTACTCCGAATGAATCCCCAATCATTTCTATATGCTCATTGCTAGTGGTTGGTACTTGGAGAGCATAAGTCGGTTTATTGAGAAGTTATCCCTCGAGACAGCCCCAACGTGACCCGGTTATTATAGTTGAAATACGTCTCTCACGGGATACAATCATTTTTCAGCCCAGAAGTGCTATTCCGAGCACACACTTCTCACACCTTATCCTCCAAACAGGTCCAATTTTTGGCTCATTCGTACAAGAATCGACATGATTTTTCCAGTCCTAAGGCATGTGCCAGGAAAATATCGCCTGATAGCCTGTACATGTGATAATAAGGGTATTTGACAGACTTCTGATTCCCAAGATTTTCTGAAGTTGTAATAGATGACAGATACCAGTTCGCACACGGAAAATCACGCTCCACACTGAATGCCATCGCATGCTTGGCACACTCTATAGCCTCGGTACTGGATAGAAAGTGTAAGACAGTGCGCTTGATATTTCTTGATCATAAGAATGTTTTTGGTTGCCCCGACAGACCCACCTTACTGAATATACTTCAGAAATAGGTCTACATCTAAGCATTTTCCGAATCACTAGTGAACACTTCACTGATTGTGTTCATTTCACACTACCATGGTAAGTTTTCGGCGCTTTTTCCAGTCAACTCAAAGTTGTCCTTTAACCGTATTTCTTTTCATTATATGCGTGATCGGAAACCATAGACGCTCACATATTTGCACAGCATGATGTCAAGTGTCAAACCGCAGTAACTTATACTGGATTGTCAACCGGTAAGTCAACAAGCTACGATCGACTTAGATGGACAGTCAGTGACAAACGACAGGATAGAACAGAGAAACCACCTAACCACTGAATAAAAGCAATGCAAACAAGTCTTACTCCGGAATGAAACGAGACCTCGAACCGAAATATCTAAGTTTAATTAAACTGTTTAAGAACAAAGTGTGATTAGTTACCCAGTGGTTCAGTAAACGTGCACTTTTCAATCAAGTCCAAAGGTTTAACCTTCCCTGGGTCGAAGACAAAACTTAGTGGATGAAACTGGAAAATTTTTGTAGTAAATGATCAGCGTATCTTGATTACTAACTTGTCCTCTAGTGTGAAGCAGTGCGCTATAAAAACCTGTTTGTGAAAAATCGACAATAATCAACATCACTATTACGTTATTTTATGGCATGGATATTTCATAATTATGATCTTGAAAAATGCATGAAGCTTTGGAGTGCATTTCTATGTTCAGCTGTAGCGACAATCTGTGGATAACCGTAGTTTACGGGAAAGACTTCAAGACTGTCCGATTTCGAGCAATTTAATAAGCCCATCGCAACAATTCCGGAACATTGTTATCGAGAAAATGTGGGTTAATCGGGTGACATATCAGTCTATTCGGCCGAAAAAATGACGGGCAGTACCAAAAAACAACTCGCGAATTCGTAGGGGGGGGCATAAAATGAGAAGCCAGAAGGACATGTAGGGTAGTTTCGTCGCCTCGCTGCGACGAATAGAGAACAGTTGTACACGGTTCGAAACACAGGATGTTGATGCCAGCCGAAANAGCCGAAAAAATGTATCACAGATCTCTGTTCTATGGCTGACCGACTGCTGCCCTCCAAAGGTCAATTAGGCCTCAATGGTGGCCGGTCCGGAAGACAGACTACCGGCCGGTTTAGAAGAAACACTCTGCGTCACAGACGAGATCCAGTCGGAGACCATTTGTCGAGCCATTTTGGCTTGAAACCCGGCAAGGATATTGGAAGGAGTGGCACCCCCACCGAAAGTTCCACTGACGCGACAGCGAACGTAAGCAAACAAATTTACTGCAGTCATACCCAGAGCCATGGCACAGACCAGTGCCCACCGCAGTCGAAGAGAAAACACGGCCACCAGGAGGAAAAGACCCCAGACAAG